CTATTTGATGTTCCATGTGTTGGTGAGAATGTTGCCGTTGCCGTTGTCGTCCTTCAGTCGGGAACGACATCACCTCGGTCACCGTATAGGGTCCTTACCATGGTGGAGAGAGTTTATGTTTCTCCTTGGTTGATTGGTTTCTTCGAAGCATGAGGTCTCCGACCTCGAGGATCCTCCCTCTGATTTTTCTTTCATGGTACCCGCGGAGAGTTTGCTGGTAGCGAGCGAAGCGGATGACGGTCGTCTCACAAGCCTCCTCGAGTAGGTCAACCGTGTCTTGCTGAGCCTCCGCAGCTCGGTCTTGGTCGAAGGCCTTCACTCTTGGGGTGCCATGGTCGAGGTCGGAGGGCAATACTGCTTCAGCTTCGTCGGGCAGGAAGAAAGGTGTGAATCCTATGGATTGGTTCAGGGTCGTTCTCAGGCTCTAGAGGATCGCTGGGACCTCTGCAACCCATCGCCCGGCATACTTATTGAGTCGGTCGAAGATGCGTGGCTTGAGTCCTTGGAGGACCATGCCATTGGCCCTTTCGACCTAACCGTTAGTACGTGAATGTTCGACCGAGGCCCAGTCGATCCTGATGCCGTATCCATCACAGAAGTCTAGGAACTTCTTCCCGGTGAAGTTAGTTCCATGGTCGGTGATGATGTAGTTAGGAACACCGAAACAGTAGATGATGCTAAGGAAGAACTTGACCACCTCTTCTGAGCGAATGTTGGTGATGGGCTTTGCCTCTATCCACTTGGTGAATTTGTCCACCACTACGAGCAGGTGAGTGAAGCCGCCCATGCCCTTTTTGAGGGGTTCGACCATGTCGAGTCCCCAGACCGCGAATTGCTAGGTGATGGGGATGGTTTGAAGCTCTTGTGTCGGCAAATGAGTTTGCCGAGCGTAGAACTAGCATCCCTCACACCTACGGACGACCTCCTCTACATGTCGTAGCGTGGTGGGCCAGTAAAAACCTTGGCGAAAGACTTTTCCGACCAGCGACCTTGGGGCCGTGTGATGTCCACAGATTCGGCATGGACCTCGAGGAGGAGCTATTTCCCTTGGTCGCTAGGGACACACTTCATGAGTACTCCCGACGGACTTTGCTTGTAAAGTTTGTTACCGAATGCAATGAACGTCTTGGCGCGTCGAGCAATTCGTCGTGCTTCAGTCCTTTCTAGTGGGAGAATCTCCTCGAGGAGGTAGGTGAGTAGCGGTGCTCTCCATGAGCTTGTCAAAGGGTCGGGATGGCCCTACTGGGGCTGCTTGCCCGCACGATCGGTCGCGGCGACCAAAGTGGAGTTGGCCGGTCGACGCCGATCCTTTTTGTTCTTTTTGCCCCTTTGCTTGGAGGGGCCCTCGTCTTGGTTCTCACACTTGGCCTTGCCCTTGTCCTGGCCTCCACTAAAGACTACTCTGACCGCCTCCTCGCTGGAGGCATGGTTCATGGCAACGTTGAGCAGGTCATGGGTGGTACAGGGCTGCAGACAGCCGAGCTTGTGGATCAAGGACTCACAGGTTGTCTCAGAGAGGAACGCGCTGATGACATCCGCGTCGACGACATCATGAAGGGAGTTGCATCGTTTTGAGAACCTACGGATATAATCCCGTAGGGACTTGTTGGGCTCTTGCTGGGAGCTCTTGAGGTCCTAGGAATTCCTAGGACGAACATATGTCTCCTGGAAATTCTCGATGAATATCCTCTTGAGATCTGCCTAGTCGCAGATGCTATCAGGCGAGAGGAATTTGAGCCATGCTCGAACATGCTCCCCCACGTAGATGGGGAGGTATTGAATGATGAAGTGGTCATCATCCACCCCTCCGACTCGGCAGGCGAGCCGAAAGTCTTCGAGCCATATACTGGGATTTGTTTCTCTGGTGTATTTGGCGATGTTGGTAGGTGGTTGGAGCGTTGTGGGAACGACACTCTATGGATGCGACGGCCAAAGGCCTATGGTCCTAGGCCGTCTGAGTTGGGACTCCGGTCGTCTGGTCGGTGACCATGCTTGGGGTGTGTTTCCCCGCTCCGCTTGATGGTCCGACTAGGGCCCGTGCCGCCTGCTCTCACCGCCCCTTGATGGATGCCATCATCACGCCGGGCTTGACGTCGATTGTTGATGATGCTGCGAGTGTCTCGGTTCGACCTGAGCCATTCATGCATAGGTGGTTGGTGTGGAGCGAGTGTCGGGTCAGGCCATGGTGCAGCTGCGGCCTCCTGTTCTACGTGGGGCGACTGTAGTGGTGAGCAGATGGAGGCCACGAGCCGGTGTCACGATGCGGAGCTCTCCGCCTATTGGATGACAATGGTTTCCACCAGCGCCTGGAGGTTCCGGTGGACCGCCTGCTCCTAGGGGTCGACAGGCTCAAGAAGGCCGTGCAGAAGCATCGCCGCAGCGGCGATGTACTGGCCAGCCCGAGCAAACTATGGGGGATCATTTCCTCCGTCCATGATATTACGCTGGACCTGGCGGGCGTGATCCTGAGCGCTGCTCGCCGGGTTACGCGCGCGTGGTGCAGCGTGCTGCGCCGAGCGTGCCGGCGCAGGTGGCGGTTGGCTCTACCGCCTTTGTCGTAACTCCTCGCCGTGCTCCTGTGCATGCACGAGGGCCTCAGCATGAGGGTCTGGAGGGGTGTGACTCTATAGAGACTCCGCTATCACCGATGGCTCTCCCGAAGCGTCCGCCATAGTGCACTCCCTGGACAGGGGGTGGTTAGGTGCCACGACATCGCCAATGCTGAAGCCATCGCTTTCAACCTCGTCATCCACGAGGTCATGGAAAGAGGCAGGAGCGTAGCCCACCATCCTCATGAATTCGGATGTGAGAGGGGCCGGCGTCAGCATCTTTTGGAGCCCTCGCGCATACGCGTCCATGGGGGACGCGAGGCCGTAGGGGAACCGGTCGTATGGCGGTCGCGGTGGGGACAACGGGGTCCCTTCGGAGAGTCAGTGGAAGATATTAAATAGCGAGTAAAGAACAATATGTATGTTACTCACAGTGGGGTTTGAGCCCAGCATGGGCTCAGAGCGAAGCGCAGGTGTCTCATTATTGAGGTCACCAGGTGGCCCAGAGCCGATGGAGGGCACTCCTCCTCCGACGGGCGCTGGGACAAGTGCCTCCTCGCGAAGGCGAAGCACGCCGAGCTGGTCGGCGATGAAGTCCAGGCTTCCGAAGAGGAAGGTCTAGGATGGCTCGAAGACGGGAGGAACCCACATCCCAACAGGTGGGAGCATGGGAAACTCCAGCGAGCCGAAGCAAGTCGTATCGCTTGAGCCCGTCATGACGAAGATGGCGGAAAGGTGGGCCATCCGATGACCAAAAGCGTAAACGTACGTCGTCCTCCCCACGGACGGCGCCAACTGTCGGTGCAAAAAGTGATCAACAAGTAAATATTTATAGTTTTACCATACATTGTGATCGGATGTGGCCTAGCACTCAATGACACAGGGTTTATACTGGTTCAGGCAACATGCCCTATGTCCAGTTTGAGTCGGTCGGTGACTTTATTCCTGAGCCCAGGTGCTCGAAGTTTGCTGTGGAGTTACAAATGAGTGGGAATGAGAAGGGGGTGTTATAGGTCCGGTCGGACTCTGGGCCGAAGGGCCAAGAGTGACGGGAGATCTTGCGTGCGCTAAGTATTGAAATGTAGGCTCTGTGTAGCTTTAGAGTTCTAGAGCTGTGGAGCTATTCGAGTGCTTAGAATGTCTAAAGCTAGAGAGAGAGAGAGAGTCGGAATCCTCCTTTTAGGAGAGAGCGCATCCCCTTTTATAAGTGAATGGGATGACCTTACAAGTGTGAGAGAGAGTGTGTGCTACCTAGTCTTGTTGCCCATGCCATCGGGTACAAGAAGGTTTGTCGGCGTCCACAATACTGTTGACGCCCAGATGCATGTGGTAGGCTCCATCGTGTTCTTCTGGTATGGCAAATGTCGGCGCCTACCATACTGTAAGACAAATGTCGACGCCCACAACACTATTCGTGTTCTGACATGTCTGAAAGGTTGCAAAACACCCTTCTGGTATGGCCTGGCAGTACTGTCCTGCAGGTGTACAGGGTACGGTACTCGGTATTGCGGTTGACTTGAGCGTTTTGCCTTATCTGCTCCGTCTGATTCTTGGGTCCTCACCGAGCGGGCGTCCCCGGTTGGTCGTTCCCAGTCAGCTCCGACCGCGCCGGTCGGAGAAGAGCTGTAAGCAGAGGTTCAGTGTATTCCTGGTCGGAGAAGCGGGTCGGAGTCGGAAATGAGCATCGTCCCCTTCTTGGCCAGGCCTTTCGGTCGGAGACTGGATCACTCTTCCGGCCTGCCGTTAGGTATCTGGGCTGGCTCAGGAGTCGAGCGTTTGTTGTAAATGTCGTTTGCTGGGTCGAGTTTTTGCTGGGAAGTGGGCCCATCGGGAACCCTGGGTTTATGAACCCAACAGTTGTAGTCGCCGGTAGCCTAGTGGTTACAAGAGCTTCAGTAGCACCTTAGGTCTTGGGTTTTGATTTCCCATGGAAACAAATTTTTTAGATTTAACGACGACGTTCTCGTCGGCAGCGAGACAATTATGGTGACTCTGTCAATTTCGAGGATTTATCGACCTAATTTTCAAAGATGCTCTTAGGGGCAGGATTTACTTGCATGCGTTCATATGGGTGAGTGTGCGTGCGTTATATTGTGTAATCGAAAAAAAAGTTGTAGACCGATGCCGGTGGTGTTCGTATTTTGTCAAATCTATTCTAAGACTTAACTATGCTAATAAATGACGTATTCATGAAAAAAAATACATCTACAATAATCTTCTATAACTAAAAAAAAATATGGATATTATTTTGGTGCGACAATTATCTTTGCTTTGTCCGTCTACCACTTCGTACGATCGATTCCATCTCCCACGCTGTCCAACGGCGAGCGAGAAAAGGAAAGCCTGCGATTTGTCCCCGCCCGTCACGCACGCGATCAGCGCGAGACGCCGTCATCGCCGCAGGCCGTGTGACTGTGATAAAGGAAGGAATTGCCACGATAAAGGAAGGAAATGCCGCGAGAAAGGAAGGCACCGCCGCCTATCGCACTCGCGCTATACCTCGCGCTCGCTGGGAAGGAGATTTTCCGCGCCGCAGAGTCAGGCGACGATGACGCGTTCACCTCCCTCATCCCTGCCGACCTCTCCCTGCACAACGAGGACGGCTGCTACCTCCTCGACGTCACCGCCGCTGTCGGCCATCCTCGGGCGCCCAGAGGACGCGGGGAGAGCGGAGGATGCGAGCGAGCGCGAGATCCGCTCCGCCCGAGCGGGAGCCGCGGCTGCCATCTCCTGCTCGGCCTCGCCATCACCATCGCTGCCCTGCTTGCACTCGCCTCTGCCTCCGAATCCGACCATAAGGTGCGTTGCTCTCCTTCTCTCTCCCTGCCGACCTCTCCCTGCACAACGAGGACGGCCGCTACCTCCTCGATGTCACCGCCGCTGCCGGCCATCCTCGGGCGCCCAGCGGACGCGGGGAGAGCGGAGGATGCGAGTGAGCGCGAGATCCGCTCCGCCCGAGATCTGCCGCGCTAGGGATCTGTGCGGGCCGCAGTGGCGGAAGCCGTGAGCTTGCGATCCGGTGCTGCGCGTCTACAGCTGGCGGCGGGCGGGCGTGTGGCCGCTACGGGATTTGCGCGGCCCGTGGCGGATAGCGGGAGCCTCACAGGCGGCAGCTGCGAGCTTGCGGCCCGGCGCAGTGCGGCTGCAGCCGACGGTGGGCGCACGGTGCGGAGGTCCGTTGAGAGGAGGCAGCAAGCCGTCTACACCATGGTGCTGGAGCCCGAAGCATGGTGGGGGCACGTCCTCGTCGTCCTCAGGGAGCCGCATCTTCTTGAGCACCAAGATCTGGCGCATCGTCTTCACCTGGGCCTTCCAGCGGCGGCGCGGTAAGGATTGGGATGGGCGATGGCGGCGTAGAGGCGGCGGCATCGGTCGGGGAAGATTGGATGCTCGACGTACCGTCTTCCTGAATTCTTTGGTGATGATGTTCTTTCTTTCTTTCTTTTTCTGTAGGAACAATGGCGACCAATCTTTTCCTAATGCGAGATTGGAAGTAGTTATGCTACTGTTTTGCTATGATCTAGGAATGCTGAATTTGCAATGAGCATTTTTTTATTGCTAGATTATTGGACTAACATTTCTGTGGGTGATTTTCTTGGACCCATGCGGCCATGGTGGCATGGGAGGCCAAGTGGCCAACAAGTCGCTGTCCATTGAGGTGTGCATCAAGATCCTCTTCACTTCGCTCTGCCACACTGACGTTTACTTCTGGTCGGCCAAGGTATCTACTGATCACTCATCCCATTCTATCGTGTTCATTGAGATGTTTGACGCAGCAACTTGGAGCTGAATTGCGTGTTATTGGGGACTTCTAATTTATTTCTTATAGGGCATTCCCGTGTTCCGTAGGATCTTGGGTCACGAGGCTCAAGGGTATGTTATCTTCCCTGGCCCACTTTATTTTCTTGCATACGGATGTTTGAGTTGAAATTTCATGGTCTCCTGCTTGTATTTGGTGTTACCTTATCATTGGTGATCATTGTTTATTGACATATTAGATGCTGAGAATCCTAGATTCTAGAGAATATGTGAAAAGGGTGATAAAAAATAGTTTGTGTTGCTTGAGACTGCAATCCGGGCATCCAATGCACAGTATGATGACCCTAATATCTTCGACCGGATAAGGGTAAAGATGATAGATCATGGAGATGGTGCTTGCGGCTGGGATATCTTCTCTTTTTGTATGATGCTAGGGTTCCCCTAGACACAGTGTTTATGAAGATGTATCTCAAGGTTTTCAACTTTTTGTGGAAGCTCAAGCGTGTGGATCACTTCCTTATTGGAGTGTGGAAGGCAATGAATAGCATTGTTTCTTTTCTCCATTTTACAAGGAAGGAGCAAACATCTGAGCTCAGTTTGTTTCAGTTCTAATATTCAATGAAATGAATCACTTTGTGCCCAATTTCCAGTACTTGACTGAAGTGGACGATCCACATGCTGGTGACCAGCCCCATGGTGGCAGACATGCCTACCTGACTGAGAAGATTTAGTTGTTTTAATTTCACCAAGTTAACTGTTTTTATGCAATGCCTATTGCCATCTTGTCCACCAAAATTCCATGCAGGTCACTAATGGTATGCACTCTCAACAATATGGTAAGATTAAGTGCAAGTTATTTTGCACTGCCCTTTGTGCGGTTGGCTTAATTACTTCAGATTTGTGGATTTTTCAGCTTATGTAACATTCCAGTGGACCCTTCATGCTTCTGGAGGTTTATCCTGGCAAATTTTCTCCCTTGCTGCATAATTAGGAGAAGTGAATGGAGTGCCTTTGGTTTGCCATCTCTTGGATTGGATGCATCTTTCTGTTAGAAAATTGTGTACAAGCAAGACCTACAAGTTGGTATTGGTATATTAACTTATAAGAAAAGGATAGAAATATAAAACACTTGTTGAATCCTGTAGTGTGCCATTCGCCCATGCCTGTGTTGACGTGCAATTGACATTTTGTCTTATAAAACAATTTGATTGTATTTATTGTCATGATTTTTTTTTCTGATTTCTGAATACGCTGACAATTCATTGTTTGATGTTGGCCGTGCATATATAAATCACCTTTTCAACAAATTTACTTTTTTCTTCAAAGTTAGTTGGCTCACTCTTGTTAGCAAAGTATATCCTAATTTCTGAGTATGCTGCAAATTCATTTGGCCGTGCATATATAAGTCACTTTTTCACCACAATTTAGTTTTTTTCCCAATGTTAGTTGGCTCACTCACTGTTGCGTCCTCGTCAAGCCTCGAACCATGAACTGGCGTTGTGCATGGAGGATCGCAGGCTGGACTTGAGTTCCACAGATGGGAAATTATTATGTCCTTGCATAGAGCATGATTTAAATTGGACTGGGCATGACTGATTTGTAGCAACATGAAAGAGATCATGGAAATAATTTTCTAAACACTTGTTAGCACTTGAATTATCAACCAGCCAAGAAATAAAGTTTGTTTTATTTCTCTGTTTCCACTTCTTTGGTCTGTTTGCTGAAATCTATTGGTGATCTGTGTTCCAGGACGACTGAAGCTGTGCAGTAGCAGGCTCGACACATTGAGGGGAGTTGTGCATTAGCAGGCCCAACGCTTCTCATCTCAAGATACCTGCAGCTTGGTCTTCACGCATGTTCATTCAATTTTTACAGTCCCCTGTTCTTGGAGATCACGCCAAAAAAAAAAAATCACACACACTAGTCTCAATCAGTTCATTCTAATTGTAACTCTGTTTGTTTTGTGGGATATAGAGGGTGATTTCTCAAACAACAAATAACCTGACTATAGTGACCCTCACCATACCACTGAAATCATGTGGTCTTTGCATAAATAAATGTTGAACAATCAAACAATATAAATTGTAGCCATGTGTATTTTCAGAATGGTAGTTCACAATATGTGCTGGCCCAGTGTGTAAGTTTTGAAATTCAATAACCTACATAGATGAGATACTCTTTGTGCTCACCTTTTGTTGCCTGCGATTCATAGCTTCAGATTAACTGAAGTTTCACAACAGCAATGATATGTAGTAATTAATTCCATTGTGTTACAGATTGTAATCATATCCTTATGTTCTTGCACTCTCTAAAGTATTGTTTTTTCTAACAGTGCAACACATGGCATTATCTTTTTCCCGTAGCAACGCACGGCCCTTTAACTATATCTCCTACAACTAAAAAAAACAAAAGTAAGATAATTTTTTGGTACGACTTTTTTTTCTGTCGCTCCTCCCTTCTGACCACGCGATAGAAAAAGAAACTGTCTTCCCTGCGATCCCCGCCTGATTTGAATGAAACAAATCGATCATATGAGGCCACATGCATGGAAGGAAACAATAATCATGCATGGAAAGAAACAATCATGCGGTGTTTCTCTCTCGCTCGGTCAGATATCTTTCATTTCCACGTAAACCGGATTATATGGTATTGTCTATAATTTGGAGGATATTAAATTTAGACTGGGTGCATAGTATGCCACCTAGCTTTATTCTTACGACTTCTACCTCTTTATGTGTTAGTCTTTGCCGAACAAAAGTAAGACAAATTTTTTGTGCGACTTTTTTTTGTCGCTCCTCCCTTCCGGCCATGCGATACCCCGCACGATAGAAAAAGAAACTGCCATCCTTACGATCCCCGTCTGCTTTGAAGGAAACAAATCGATCACCTGAGGCCACATGCATGGAAGGAAACAATAATCATACATAAAAGAAAACAATCATGCGATGCCCCTCTCTCGCTCGGTCAGATATCTTTCATCTCCACGTAAACCGGATCGTATGGTATTGTCCATAATTTGGAGGGTATTAAATTTAGGCTGGGTGCATAGTAGGCCATCTAGCTTTAATCTTGCAACTTCTACCTCTTTATGTGTTAGTCTTTGCCAATGGTATAATTTATTCGCAAAGCTCAAGCAAGACAATTGGCAAAGATCAAGCAAGACGACTCAATGAGGTTGGCCCTTAATTTTAGTGTTTCCAGCATGCAGACCTGAAATTAAAAAGTGGCTGCCCCTTGAGAACATCAGTGGTGCCAAATAAAAGATGTGCAGGTTATACATGGTGAGACTGGTGAACCTTCCGCAATTTCCTAAACGAATATTCCCACCATTAGTATATAGGTCCATTCCCCAGCGTTTCTTCGTGCTCCCATTAGCATATAATATGAAAGTATTGTTGTGTTCATCACGACTTCCAGTTGACTACTCCTATTAGCATATACTTCCTCTGCCCTAAAATATAAGTCGTTATAGGATGCGTGCAGGTCAAACTTTCTCAATTTTGACTAGGTTTGTAAAATATACTTGCAACATTTATATCTCCAAATAAGTTTATTATGAAAATATATTCAATAGTCTATGATACTAATTATGTATTATAAATATTAATATTCTTTTATATATAATTGGTCGAAGTTAAAAAAAGTTGACTTCTCGAAAAGCGAGAATAAATTCTATTTTGGGACAGATGGAGTATGAAAGCAGTGTTAAAAATATTTTAACAATCAAGTTCGTCTCTGTCTGATTGGTAAGCTTAGACATCATAATGGCATAAAAAATTTCGACTCTCATGGATACCCTCATGGATCAGTGCAAAGCATCCCAATCCTACATCATACACAAATGGCAATCTTAAAGTTATGATATTTTCAAAGGGTGGACAATAAAGACTATCTTAGACGTTCTGGCATTAGAGTATATTAGTGCAGGCACATAGGCATAGTGGTGCAAGTGAGTAGCCTGCAGGAGTCGAGAGTTAGGGGGTGTTTGGATCCCAGGACTAAACTTTAGTCCCTGTCACATTGAATTTTTAGATATCAATTAGGAGGACTAAACATGAGCTAATTATAAAACTAATTACATAAGTTGTGGCTAATTCGCTTGCCAGCTCCGTGTACAGGATGGTATGGAGATGTGGTGGAATTTATTCGTGGATTTGTTGGCGCACGAAAGAAATGGATATCGGAAATCTCTTCCTGCTAGTATAAAAAATGATCTTAGCCGCATCACGGAAAGATCTACACAGTAGAGTTGTGAGCCTACGACGCCACGCTCTCTGTGACTGTGTAAATTTCACGAACTTAGCTTTTTGGATTAAATATCACTTTAACGTCGGTAATATATTTTTACAGTATTGTTATCTTATCGTACGATCCATGTGTTTTTAGTATAAAAGTTTAGCTATCCCGTAGCAACGCACGGGCAAAAGCCTATTTACATATATACTCGAACCTGTGTGTATATGATTATATGGAGATGCAACGGAACTTATTCATGTTTATTGGCGCATGGAAGAAATAGATATCATAGAATTCTTTCTGCCGATATAAAATATTATCTTAGCCGTATCATGAAAAAGTCTATATAGTAGAGTTTGTGAGCCTACGACGTCGCGCTCTCCGTGACTATGTTAATTTTATGAACTTTGCTTTTTGAATTAAATATCACTTTAATATCGGTATTTAATTTAACAGTATTGTTATCTTATCGTGCGATCTATATATTTTTAATACAAAAGATTTAATTATTCCATAGCAACAGGCGGAGACGCTACCAGTTTTGAAAAAAAAACCGGTCACCCGGGGTCGCAGGACGGCAGTACTGACTCTGCGGCCGTTGCACGACTGCACCACGGTTGCAGGCACGCCCTTTCCTGATCTGGCCACTGCGGCTGTCTGCAGCCGCAGCTTACCGAACAGGCCAGTCCAATTGGCTGCGTGAGGCTGGTTTAGTTCTAAAAATTTTCGCCCCAAACTATCACATCGAATCTTGCGGTATATGTATGGAGTATTAAATATAGACGAAAAAAAAACTAATTGCACAGTTTGGTTGGAAATCACGAGACGAATGTTTTAAGACTAATTAGTCCATGATTAACCATAAGTGCTACAGTACTAACATGCGCTAATGATTGTTTAATTAGACTTAATAAATTCGTCTCGCAGTTTACAGGTAAGCTATGTAATTAGTTTTTTTTTATCCGAAAAACCCCTTTTGATATCCCCGAAACATCATATGTGACATCAAATATTTTCATTTCGCGAACTAAACACACCGTGACTACCCGAGGCAGCCACCCGAGGCACAGGCAGGCAGCTGGGTGCTGTAACTGCTGACCCATCCACTCCCACTCTCATTTGGGCAAACTCGTGGGCGTACGTGAACCTGTCCAAATTGGGCAAACACAAACGTGTGCACCGTTTGGTTCACTAACATATTCCCACGACAGCCTCATATTCCCTCACGGCTTTGAAGATTCGTTAGACTAAAATTTAATCCAGGTCATATTAGATGTTTGATGTCAGTCAGAGGACTAAACATAAACTAATTATAAAACCAATTACATAAGCTGTGTCTAACTCGTGAGACGAATATATTAAGCCTATTAATCCATAATTAGTAAATTTTACTGTGGTATCACATGAGCAAATCATGTACTAATTGTGCTTAATGGATTTGCCTCAACCACATCAGCCATTTTGAGCAATAGCCGATAAAGGGAAATGACTACGATGCCAAACTTATCGTTCAATAAGGTCAGTCTCAGTGAAAAGTTTCATCGGTTGTTTTCAAAACTGTCAAGTTATGTATAATGAAATGAGACAAGGATGAAACATCCACTCTCAATGGAAAATTTTATTGTTTGGTTTCATAAACATTTAATTTAATGATTCATAGAGAGTTGGTAATCGTGCCAAGAGACTTTCATGTTCATGAAACTGACTTCTCTCTCTTCATAAAAAGGATTTTAATGATTCATAGAGAGTTGGTAATCCATTTTGTGCAATAGCCACAGTTACAACCACATCAGCCATTTTGAGGAATAGCTGATAAAGGGAAGTGACTGCGATGCCAAACTTATCTTTCAATAATAAGGTCAGTCTCAGTGAGAAATTTTATTGGTTGTTTCCAAGACTGCTAAGTCACATAAAATAAAATGAAATAAAGATGAAACACGCACTCTCAATGGAAATTTTCATTCTATGATTTCATATACATTTAATTTTATGACTCAGAGAGTTTCATCCACATGAAACTCACTTTTTCTCTCTTCTTAAAAAAGGTCATCACATCATCAAGAGCGTTTATGTGGCAGCTTATCAAATGCAAATAAAATTTTGATAAAACTTACACAGAGACTGACCTAAGTTTTAATAATGAAATGTACTTTATATTGTTAGAAAAAATGGAGTCACACTAATATTCGGAAACTTTCAACAACATCAATGGCTAAGTTTTAATAATGAAATGTACTTTATATTGTTAGAAAACATGGAGTCACACTAATATTCGGAAACTTTCAACAACATCAATGGAGTACTACATGCTCCCTAGTCATTGCCACCGTAAATGAGATGTTTTGTCAAATAACAGAAAGTATAGTATATATGATGAAATTGGAAGCATAACATCAATCCCGGTCGTCGCCGATCGCATCACTGCCCCAAATTGAAATGACGATTCTTACCGGTGGCAGCCACATAGCCACAGCCACAAACCACATCACCCATTTTATGGCCGATAAAGGGAAGTGACTACTGTTAGACTTCGTTTTAGGCATATTCATTAAATCGGGATACATAGTAGTAGAATAGGTGTTCGGGATTCACAGAGAGACAGAGAGAAATGAGGTGATAGATAGCAAACCATCGAAAGCCGTAGTGGTCGAAGCTCCGGCCGGGGTTTCGTTGACAGACGCCATCTGCGCGCCGGCAGCGACGTTCGGTGGAGAGGGAGTCGGCGTTGTGGCGTCCTCGGCGGCGGCATGTGCGTCGGGGTGGCGTTGCCGGTGTCGGTGGTGCTTCCCGTCGTTGGCAGCGCTCCTTCTCAAGATCGAGTCTAGGGTTAGAATATCGGTGGGGTAACTGGCGGCGCGGTGAACCTCATACTGCGAGCCCCGGCCCCCACCTTTCCTTTATAGCGCTGTGTGACGGGGGCCCACCAACCATGTAGGGTTGGGCGCCCCCGATCAGGGCGTGAGAACCAGGCCCAAAAGGCCGTTGGGCCTAACTGGTGGGAGATCAAACCTAACAACTACGCCCTGTTCGGCTGTCTGGAGAAACTTCGCTGAAACAGTACGGCGGATAAGTTGAAGCGAACAGGGCCTACGATGGCAATCTCCTCCTCATTCAGCACAATAATGGATGAGCTTGCCGCCTGCCGCAGCTTTTCCTCATCCATCCCTCAGTCCCCAGCCTCCTTCTCCGGCGCCGGCGGCCAACACCCGGTGCTTGAGTTCGAGTACTGCGACGTCCCCGAGCAATGGCTGGAGGATGACGACGGGATAGATAAGCTCTGGGATGGCAGCACAGCGACAGCGTTGGGCAACGGGGCCACGCCGTCGGCACCGGCAGGCAACGATGTGTATGTTTCCGACAAACCGCCACCGGCACCTGCGCCCAAGTGGCTGCGGGGCCGCAAGCCCGGGCCCAGGACCGTCGGCCCCGTCCTCAGCCACGTGGAGGCGGAGCGGCAGCGGCGGGACAAGCTCAACCGCCGGTTCTGCGACCTCCGGGCAGCCGTCCCGACGGTGTCCAAGATGGACAGGGCGTCCCTCCTCGCCGACGCCACTGCCTACATCGCTGAGCTGCGCGCCCGCGCGGAGCGGCTCGAGATCGAGGTCAAGGTCAAGCAGTGGGGCCGGTGGAGGCCTTCAATGAGAAGCTGGAGGTGCGGATGTTGGGGCAGCGCGAGGCGGCGGCGCTGCGCCTGACGACGACGGCAGCGACGACACCAACCCACGCCGCCGCGCGCCTCATGGTCGCGCTCTGCTCGCTGGACCTGCCGGTGCAGAACGCATGCGTGTGCCGGGTGGGCGGTACGACGACCGTGCAGGACGCCGTCGTGGACGTGCCCGTCGCGCTGCGCGACGAGGGCCTCCTCCGCGCGGCGTTGCTCCAGTGCTTGCAGGGGAGCGGATGATTTGTAGCCGGCGGCCGGGAGGCTTGGTGCGCCATTTGCTCCCATGGATCCGTCGCCAAATCGAAGCTAGATGTGCTCCAGCCTCAACTCCAGCCCCCAGGTTGAACAAAGCTAGCTGTGCTTTTATTTGGGGGCCGGCTCCCGGCTGGCCGGATTAATTATATAATATACTCATTCTCCGTCGCCAAAACCTTGGCTTGTATAAGAATTATTTATTCATCAGGTATGTTTGCACCAATGATGTGTATGCATGGTGCCAGGGGATCCAGACTATCAAATACTTTAGTCTTATTTTTTTATTAGGTGAACAATACTTTAGTCTTGGATTCTACTGCTATCAAATGATAGCATTAAAATGGACTGTATATTATACACTCTTCGTTATAAACTGTAAGATCATTTTAGTATTTTTTAGATATATGATTCTTACTATGTATTTGGATATAGTGTATGCCTAGATAATATGCAGTAAAAATAATTGTATCTAGAAAAGGCAAATGTCTCACAGTACAAGAAGGTAATGTCTACAATTCAAGGAGGTAATGTTTCTCTTGTTGAAGAATTTGTTAATTAGCCTTAGCTTGTTTGATGAGGATGGATTGTATGGAAATGAAAAGTCAAACATTTATATCACCGACTCAGTAAACTCTTACCATGCATGATCAGTGAAAGAAATCATAAGACTAAGATAAGATTATTCATATCTCGAGAATAATTTACCCTTCGCTTTGTAGTTACAAATGATATATTTTGTAAGGAAAAAATATATAGTTAAAAGTTCTGATAATCTCACGAGTAAATTAAACAAAGCACTTTGTTCTTTGTATATATAGTCCAACAATTCGGGGTACAACAAATCACCTATTCTCTGAGTCATATGTGCGTGCTACCTACTAGCTAGCTATCAGTTAGTTATTACTTGGACAATATTTTTCAGTGAACGAACATTATTTTTCTTTCACAACAAATCAGCAAACATCAGCATAAATTAAATTTCAGCGAAGCGAACAGGGCCATATTGGTAACAAAAATGAAGACGTTTAAAAACGAAATATTATAATGATCCAATATGAAGTATGTGATCATGGAGTAAAACCAGGCAGGGATAATTTTTTCCTTTATGAAAAAAAGCACGAATAAATTTGCAGGAGCCTCCACCCTGCTCCTTTCACCAGTCGATTGTCGTTAGTCAAGAACGCTGACAAGATTCAACGCAAGAGTTGCCACTTGATATGCTTGCCAAGTTGCTCAGACCTCAGAGAGAGCATGCATGCATGGTCATCATTTTTTGACTGGGCGGGGGCCCGGCCGGGGTGCATGCAATAGTGGTTTTCCTTGGAGCCTGTGTCTGAAAGAATAGGTTTCTTGGGAGCACGTCTTAGTCCTGCTTCTGCTCCTGCTGCGAGTATTATTTTTTTCTGTTTTCTTACTACTTTATTGCACTCCCTACATCTGAAAAAGGTACGTATAATTCTCACTTCTCGGAAAAACCAAACTTGATCAAACTTAGAAAAATTTATCTGGTCCCAAGTTTAAAGTTTGAATCTTTTTCAGAAGGAAAGTATATATATACTAACAGCAAATCTAAAGTTTGATTTTTTTTCAAGGAGAGAGTATGTATATACTTATACTATCAGCAAAAATTTATATCTTTCTCTAGTCTCTCTCTCTCTCTCTCTCTCTGTTAACATACTGACCATGACTCATTTTTTATTGACAAGCAACCATTCTCATGGGCTTTATAAAAAAACCAATTCTCATGGGCAAAAGTCTTAAACCCCGTTCGGCTTACCTTATAATCCGCACTATTCAGTTTATTTTTTCAGTCGGAATAATATTTTTCTCTCATAATAATTTAGCTAGAACAGTGTTTTTCAGTCAAGTTTCAGCAAGCTGAACGGGGCCTTAGTAGGGTTTCACGAATCACGACAGCCATAAGATTTGTGCAGGATGCAGGAATATATATGTGAGGACCCTGCACTACCGGATATGCACAAGGAAAGCAAGCCGACAAACGTATAGGCTTTATGGTCCCGCTGTGTGTGACAAGGACATGACACTACACCACAATCCTAAAATAGCATCTAACGGCTAAAAGTCGATAATTATAGTTGAACGGTGAGTCGCTAAAGCTTTTCCTCAGACGTCAGTTGCTAATATCGAATATTGCGATGGATGGTTCGTTGCAATAAATATTTTGCTTTTGCGTTGAATCGACAGTCGCTATATAGCACTAGCTGAGTCGAACAGTTAGTCGCTAAATACAACTGTCCATTGGCGCGATGTTTTTGGCCCAGAGCCATATCTAAACCCTAAGTTCCCACCCAGCCTCTACCAAAGGGAAATACATGCACGCACCTCACTCCTGCTCCCCAAATCCGCCACCAACACCCCGGCGCATGGGCCAGACGCTCGCCGCTGCCACCTCGGCGTCTCAACGCCTGCGCTGGACGGTCGTCACCGCCACCCACGTCTCCGCACCACCGGCCGCCACCCATGTCTCCACGCTGCCGGCCGCCTCCTGCGTGTCCACGCCGCTTGCTGCCTCTCTGCGAGTCCCCGCCGCCAGTAGCCTCCTGCAACATCCACTCCAGCAAGCAGGGCGATGCTTCCTCCATGACGCCGGCGCATCTTGGGTTTCACGGCCGCACGTTGTTGGAGCCCTTCCGGTGGACGCGAGGCACTGCTGCTCTATCTCAATCTCAGATCTGGATAGTAGTGGTGGAAATTAGTGGGTGTAATGTTGCTCTCTCAGGATTTGTAGCAGTGGAAATTAGTAGGTGTAAAGCTTTTGGTTTGATTTAGTGAATAAAAATTGATCTGCAGGATATATATCATTAGTGCTTCCCTTTCATGTCTGGCTGGCATGTTTGACAGTTGCTGGCAATTTACCCAGGCTATATGTATTATCTGTGTGACTGTGTTGCATAATCTCTTCATATTAAATCTTTAGCTCTGTTGTGATGCAAAGCACACGGTCCTTTTTTTTCATTTGTAAGACAGTATTAACTTTGTAAGACTATTAATTTTGTTGATCTGTGTTGGTGTTGCTGATGTAGCACATTTAGTGAATGGTGGCTATGGCTCTATTTGTTGGCTCACGAACTGCTCTGAAATTACTCTGAACATTCAAGTGTCCCTACTGAAACAGTTAGATGAAAGTTAACCATCTTTATCTTTGTTCAAGATCTATGGCTCAGCCTCCTTAGTTTGTCGTTGTCCAAAAGGCTTACGCGCGTGAATCTTTACCTTGACTTAAGCAAAAAGGAAGTTCCAGCAGACCTGCATCAGTTACTAGATGTACATCTCTCAATATTCTGATGATACATACTGCTGCTCTAACATGTTGTTGGTTGCAAAAAGTAGGACTATCGAATTGTCGGTTGCTAAAGATGATGTCCGTCGCTAATAATTATAGGGGTCCGTCGCTATAACCTTTAGCAACTAACTATCCATCGCTATACATCCTTTCTACAACTCCAAATCAGTCGTTGTTTAAATATTGTGGTGTAGTGTGAACACAACTGTAAAGCAACCAAAAAGCCACGAAGCTAACATATCCGGCATACATATCATATGGTACGTTGTTATGACACGAAGCCACGAATTATATAGCACCTGTACGTCCACCTGTGCTGTGCAAGGAACGGTACGTAGTATGGGGCACGTGTCGTTCGCAAGACTATTGTTGTGATGGTGACGATGTAGCGAGTCTTCTACATATATAGTCCAAAAACGACGCAAGAACGAACGGAGCGCGTCATGTATATATATATGCAACACAAAAGAACATATTTGTATTGAGTTTAGCTCGCTGCGTAAGAGTTTTGTAACCTGGATATATTGTAACCTAACCATATATGCTAGTTGCCCTCGTTCATGCTGTTGTAGTATGCATATGAGGAAAAAACACATATTCCAGTTTGGTAGTCGGTTGTACTTCCTCTTCAGACACTTATGTCCTTTGGTTGGAACCTACAAGCGAAACATGTCACATGAATGCAAATCATTTTTAGAAAGTGCTTTGGTAAACCGAAGATGAGACAAAAATAATATGGTCGTTTTTTGTACTGCTTTTGCCTTTTCTGTTTTTGCTGAAATGACATAAGATACCGCGTTTTAGAAAGTGCAATAATTCAACATAGTCAGCCATGCCACACTATAGGGCGTGTTTGGTTTCCCGGCTTTCTTCTAGCCTGGTCAGGAAATAAGCTAGGCTAGCTCAAGCCTGTCCCCGGCAAGCTAAGAGAGGCTTGTTTATTGGTTGCACATACTATTAAGTCTAGGTAGCACCTAGTGTGTTTGGTTTGGATAGAGTTATCTCTTCTTTGCATACGTAACTTCACGCCTTTGAGATAATTTGTCGAACACGTCAACTTCACCGCTTCTCAGCAGGCGCTTCCGGTCGCCGCTGCTCCTGCACGTGCCGGTGCCCGCTCAAGCGTGAGCAGAGCAAGAACAGAGCACCAAGAACATGAAGGAATCAGCACGTACCATTCGGATCTGCTCGGCGCCAGGATCGCCCGAGACGGCCAAAGAAATCCATCCAGATGAGCAGTTCGCCGCGCGATGGGACAACCAGACGAACCCGTTCAGAACATCTGGTTCGGATCAAAGCACTAGCATGCACAACGGCTAGATAGAAGAGAAGTCAGCGCGCTCACCGTTCGGCCAGTTCTTGGCGGGCTGGAAATGGTAGGTGGTCCTGCCGGTACGGCTGCCGCCGCCGCTCTCGCTCGCGGCTGTCACCGGCCGAAGAGCAGACGACGACGACGCGAGGAGGCACAGGTG